GTCAGAGAATGTTTTTAATTGGTTTGTGTTTAAAATAGTCCAATGTTCAAAACTGTGATTAGCCTGCAAATGGTCCAAGGTTTTTTTTTTTTTTTTACTTAACATCATATTTGGTGAAAACTTAAAACTGGTGCATTTCCAAGTTTATTTTACCACAAACATGGAACCATTCTAGGCAAAGGCTGCAACTGTAAGTTGAAACCAATGACAATACAATCAATTAGGATTACCAGAAACAAAACAATAAATACACAAGTGCAAGAAATACTATGGTAAAAATAAGTCTAATCTGAAAGATTTTGAAACAAATAATTCAAAGAAACAGTATCTGCCAAATGTGCTGGATTATAGAATCACCAAATAAGTTATGCCACACTCGTATCACAAAATAGAAAAACTTTGTGATGACATACAACAGGAACAGAAAGTATTTCAAGTTCCTAAATGTTAAGTTTCTTTTCTGTTTACATTTTATAATAATCCAAGTATACAAAATACTGGTATAATCATTTTAACAATGATTACCTCTTGCTCCTGAATATGAAGGAGCATTTCTTCCTCCTTCTCTTGATCCAAAGTTGCCCAAACCTTTCATTCTGGCAGTTTCCAGTTCTTGTTTGGATAGAGCTTTTTTAACTTCAGTTTTTTTTCCTTTAAGAATGTGGTGCTTTTTCACTAAGATTGATAATAAAAATTCAAAATAAACAAAGTAACAACAAGGTAATTTATATACAGACAAACAAAGTGCAACAAAACCACATGATGTTGAAAACATTTTGTACCTAACAGCAAAACAATTACTAACCACTTCAACCTGCTGCACTAATACTTTGTACACACCACTAAAAAACTAATTTTAAAACAATTTTTCTATCATTTCTGAAGTCTCAGTACTACATTTCTCAATTGTTTGATATATATTTCAATTTATTCTTATGTAATAAACACTGTTTAGAATTTAAGATGCACTGGCCATGCTATATTGCAAATAAGTCATCAGTGACTAATGGATATAAATGACAATATTCTAACGATAACTATCATCTATCATGAAATGATTCTATTTGCACACAACCAGATGGACAGCATGTTCTGCAATTTATTCAGGCTTTCATTTATTATTCATATATACTTAAGCCAGTGTTTTCCAAACTGTATCATAGCAAGTTGCTAGGGGTGTCGCAAGGGTTTCACATGAAGAATAATTAGTAACATAAAAACATGTGGCAGCAAGGGTATCCAAAATTCAAGGTAAGTCAATTAAGGTGTCACCAGTAAAAAAACATTTGGAAACCACTGCTCTAAGAAAACTAACTCATAATTAACTTAACTTCCTACCATATCAGTTGGTTCTTCAAACTAGATATTTGAACCTTTCCAACTTTTGCCTTCTATCATGCTACACAAGTATATTTTGGCCCAGCATTTAGTAAACATTATAGGCAAGACCTAATATGCTGACCAGTAATATAGCATTTTGTTTTCCCCTAAAATATAACTTTAGCACTTGGAAAAAGAATAACCACAAACAATATATACCTTAATGCTTGTTAGTTACTACTATACTGCCTGGATAAGAAATTTGTTACTTACAAACACAAATTTACCAAGTTTAACTTCTAGATACGAGTAGGTAAAAGTAAGGACATTATGACCTTTTTTGTTACATACAAAATTCCTTAAACTACTTTATCTTCAATGTAGATCAATAAATTTGACATCAAAACATAGTTAAATCAAATTTTTTACAATATACAAGTTTTGATTTTTTTTTTTATTTTCAAAATTATATATTTATTTAATTCTCATTCTTCACTTCTATACCATGCGAGATTTGCTTGCTACAAGTTGCCCAATTTAGATTTTCTACCTCTATGTGATATTCCAAGATTAGTACAAATTACACACACTGTAGATGTGGCTATTCCATAACGTACACTATCTCAAAGCTTTTTGCTGTACTAAGATATAGACAAGAAAGTCAAACCCACATCGATCAAATAAAATGTAACAAAACCCTAATGTACAAGATAAAAGAGAAGGGTTATGGTAGTATGAAACATGAAATATATGATAACACTAATAATTATTATTATATCTTATTATATACATTTAATTATTCAACAGTTTTATATTACAAAGACCGACTGTTAACTTGCTTGGAACAGTGATTGTTAAAGGTTTGTTTCACTTAAATAAGCATCAGTTCTTTTAACTGGCTACAATATGGTGCTCTTACAGTGCAAGCTTATTATGTATTGCTACGAGTATTGCACGTAGCGTCAATTTTGTGTATGTAAGCATGCATTTTTTTTAAACTTATATAAAAAATATTAAAACTGTTCTATATATCATTTTTAAACAATGTGTGAATGTTTATTTCAGTTATATAGTTATCTGTAAATTAAAAGGGGATTTCAATCAAATACAAACTAGTAGTTATGATGATATAATTAGTAAATTATACAATTTTGAACCTTCAAAATCTACCCTTCATTACAACCCTATGATTTTTCTTTACCTTTTATTCGCTACTTAATCAGAGGTCATTAACAGTTATAGTTATGTTCTATGCTGACGCACAAAATACATCAAAGTATGCCATGAAAAAATAAACTGTATGCGTTTATGCTAACCATATGACCAAATCACAGATAAGACTAAACTGTCAAATGCTTTGTTTAAAAAGAAAAAGTATCATGATGTAGATAATACAGAAGAAAGTTGTGAATGAAATCTTGGTTGTGAGAAGTTCAGACAAGAAGGTAGCAATTAGTACACTATATGTACAGTTAGTTAATTATACTTACACACAATCTTATCCACAGCATCATAGTCATCAAATTCAACAAAAGCAAACCCACGTTTCTTTCCTGTTGCCCTTTCTGTAACAATATTAACACTGACAATGTTGCCATATTCTTTAAAATGATTGCTGAGGTCTTCCTCTTCAACATCATCTTTTAGTCCTCCAATAAAAAGTTTCTTTACTGTTGCCTGAGCCTCTGGTTTCCCACTATCCTATACAAAACATAATTTATAGCATACTTTAATAATGCAGTTTTGGAACATAATCATATACAAAAAATAATTACGTGTACCTTTTACCCTTCAATTTTTACATGTAATGGACAAGTAGTGTGTAATTCATTTCTTTAGGGGGAATTTTCAAGTGAATGTGGTATGATAAAAGTTACCTTTCGAATCTTGACCACATGTAAAAAATAGTTTGCCGTAACAGTTCTCTGAACAAAAATCAGTTCTGTCTCCCTTAAGTGCTCCTTATTATACACTGTATTGTTTGATCATTAAGTTAAAACAACCACAACTTAAGAGTAAAACAAAGAAAAATCTCACAGATATTAGAACATTTTCCCACAAGTATCAACTTTCAAAGAACAAGTATAATTATTTTAGCCACTCAGGATGATACATAATACAAGGCCTACTGAACAAGAATGACTTTCCAGGAATTCAGACAACAAACCAACAAAACTTATCAGTGCCATTGTATAATCTATAATTATGCAACAAATTACATAAAGTCTAAAAAAAGTTACTTCTGGCTTAGAAGTATATTATAACTTTAAAAGATATGTGATGTTTGTTATTTCATAACTGTTGAGTTTTATTCTTAACATAATCTGATTTCCACATTGTTCACCCTAAAAATTCACATGTTAATAATTAATACCCATCAAAACACTAAGGCTGATAAGAATATACAAGTTACAATGTAACACAAATATGCAAGTAAAACAATCTGACCCTTCAAAAAGTATGAAATTATAGTTGAAGAATTTTGTCTTAATGTACTCTTAACATTTACAAATATGAAAAAAGAAAGTTTTTCCTCTAATAAAAAATTGCATGCCATTATCAAGGATAATATTCTTAACAATTCTTACTGGGGATTACTTCTGCTCTGGGCCTCACCAAAAGAACATTATACAATTTTTATTTACTTTTGCTGTGCCAAAATCTAATGTTTTTTTTTTTGCACCAACATTTGATACCAGTAAAATTTGAACATCAATATTTCATTCACGTTACAGTTACAACGTGGAATCTGCTTAATGAACAAGTAAATCACTGGTAGTTATTTTTGTCTGCTTACGGGTGTTGGTAATACAGGAGTAATAGTTTACCAATTTTCCACCTTCTGTATTTCAGACTGTGGTAATCCAAACTAACATGTATTTTCAGTGGAGGTTCTCTACTGGGCTGTTACTTCACATATCAAATTTCAAGGCACTCCATTATGAAATACCAGAGTTATAACATCTCCAATTTTGACTGAGTTTCTTCCTAATTTTTTTTCCCACACCAAAAGCACAAAAACTATTTGATAGAAAATCATACTTAACATTTATAAGTTTTTACCAAATTTGGTATACTGATAAATCTTTTTAACTTACAATTAGGAGCCTCGTTTGGTGTAAATATAAGCCACCTGCACAAAGTTATTCAACAAAAAAATTTTGTGCACGTGCAAAAAGTCATGGAAGTTAATATAAATTGCAGCACCTTAACTAAAGAACAGCTTTTCACGATGGCCTAGCCAGTAAAAAATTAGTACATGTGGGAATTTTTGTTTGTACTCTTGAATATTTAAGTTGAATTATAGCAGTTTATGGATATTTTCCCACATTGCTTCAAACCACAGATTTTTTATATTATCTATATTTAAAACAACAGTAAGAATACCTCTCTGGGAACTGCTCGCTTTGGCTCAACTACTCTACCATTCACTTTGTGAGGTCGAGCAGCCTGAGCATCATCCACCATATATGCTTTCTTGTATGTAATGAAACCAAAACCACGGGACTTTCTAGTGTTTGGATCTCTTACTACAACACAGTCCACAATTTCACCCCAATTTTCAAAGTGTTCCTTGAGAGAATCTTCTGTAGTTCTGTAATCAAGCCCTCCAATAAAAAGCTTGCAGTACTGTTCCGGATCCATGTCACTCTGCAGAAAAAAAAAGCACTAAGTATCTAACAATTATTTATTGGTTTAAATTTTCTTTTTTCAGCCCCTGAACACTAGGATATGTCTTTTGCCAAGTTTTGGTCACACAAAATGAGGTAAGTAGATCATTTGTTAGTTTTACATATACAGAAATTAAAAAATTTCTTTGTTTCTTTAAGTTTAACCCATTATATACGGGCTTGACTTTTGTGCACGTCAAATGTCGTGCACATATAATGTTTTACAGTTATAACTTGTAATATATTCAAAATTTAAATTTACAGCTTAACTATCAATGTATGTCAATAAATTAGCATCAAAATATAAACTACTATTATTATATACGTTTAATTTCTTAGTTTACTCAAGAATTGAAACCTTTCATTAATCCGATTCTAAAATTTAAAAAAGTGTAAGTGTAACAAACATCCCGATTCATGTGGCGAAACTTTCACTGAAACTGAAAGATAAAACAAAGAAAAAACGGAAAGGTCTAGCTTGGGCCTTAGCATTATAATTTTTATATTGTCAATGGTTGTGTTCAATCGCAATGTAATCGTTGCTGGGAAAAAATTAAAGCTTGCAACTTAACGTAGTACTACTAGTAGTAGTAGTAGTAGTACTCTAGGCCTATATTAGTATTATTAACGTTACACCACAGGTTAGGCCTAATACTACGACACATGTAAATTATTATTACATAAAATAGCTATAATTATTTAGTTAACAAAAACGACGTAGATTTAATAAGAATTATAACATTATGTGAAAAACGTAGTACGTTTGATAATAAAATAAGTTACCTCTGAGGTGACCATCATCAAAAATTCTTGCAACAAAAACTTCTTATTACACAAACCGCAAAAAGAAAGAATGGGCAGAGAATAAATATACGCTCAGCTACAGCCTACATAGCATTGAAATAATGAATGTCACGTGATCTATGACGTTGGGTGTGAAAACTTATTTTTACAAATGATAAACAGTTGTGGTCCATTAATTATTTCTTGTAGAAAAATTACCCATATAATTATTTATAGAAAGGAATTTCTTCAAAGTATCGCTTCTTATTTCATTCACAATTTTATATTAATACCCCTCCATGTGCAATTTTCCCGCTTCTTTTAGCCTTAAATGATATGTAATGTATTTGTTCTGCGCTTGCGTAAATACAAGTTATAAAGGTGAAGTTTAGGCTATTTATTGAGTAAGTAAATTCGGAGATTATTAAATTTCAACAACTTTGCAAATTTTGAGAAACTATTAATTTAGGTAGGATACTAAAGTTGAATACAGAATATGCATGTGTAATAGGCCATGAAGGGCAACATTAAAGATTCTATGAAAAACCTAGTGTCTTCATTGCCTATTCAACTTCTATTTTAAGCCGTCTCTATAAACTTTTAATTTTATAAATTGGATTAGATAAGATCTTGACTTCAGTTATAATTATATTCACTGTTCATCTCTGAAACCTATCATTATTAAAAAATGATAAAGTGATATATTCTTGTATTATACTTATAGCTTGGTACTACTGTTAGTATTTGTAGATTAAATTACACCACTTTAACTTTTTAAATGTTTTGTCTAACATAAATAATTTTTCTTGGGTCTTGTATTTTTTGATATATAGCTCTTAAGTACATATTTACTCTGGTAAACTAAATTTAAAATTTGAGTGATAAGTACTGCTAAGCGATCTTTTTAATAATGACAATTAATATTACATTATGTTTAAACTCAAAATATCAACTTTCAATTTCATGACTGAAAGAAGATGTTATTGTTAGGAGTTTTAGTTCTGTGTTGAAAAATAACTTATTAATTTTCTGTAACTTATGTTACTGTTAGTCCACTCCAAGATATATATAAATATAAATGTTAAAATAAGTTTAAAACAAAGACCTTGCTTTTAATATACATAACTCAAAATGTAAAGAATTGTGTGAAATTAACTGCTATCACTGGCTAGTTTTGATATATGTGTGAGCGTGTATGATAGAGACTCCCATCAGAACAATGTACAATCCCTCAACAACAGACCTGTGATGTCTCATACGGGAGATTAGTCTGATTCAGGCACGGCAGGCCTTGCCACAAATGTTGCAGGTGTAAGAGTTCATTGGCAGTGGTAGTAGAGCAAACACGTTTTTTTTCTGGTGCTTTATTTCAACATTAAAGATATGTTGGTTGTTTAATATTGTGAAATCTTCATTGGATGCTGCTTACCACTGTGTGGTCTGAAACCAACTCCTTCCACATACTTTAATATGATCTTTAAGCATATCCTTGTAACTTCTTTGAGGCTTCTGGCATAGCCTTTTACCAGTTTTCAGCTGGCCATACTGCAGAGCTTTAGGGATTTGTAGGTCATTTATATGAATCAAATGCCCCACTTATATGAACTGTGCTTTAATGGTCAGACTTTCCATACCAATGATAAAGCATCTATGCAGATCAGTGTTTGGGATTTTGTCTTGCCATTTGAAGTTACAGATTTCACGAAAAGTTGCTGTTACTGGTACTGCATCGATGAAATGGTTTAAAGTGCAAAAATTTTGTGCATGTTCAAATTCACTTTTTTGTGTGAGTTTATATATATATATACATATCAAATATGGTACACACTTCCATGACATTGTGTAATATTTGTATGTTAATAATATTAAGTATTTCAGAAATTTTTACATTTTTAATTTGAGTGTTTTTTTATCTTACCATTCCTTAATGCCATGAGATATAATATGCAATTAAAATTTTTTTTGTACAGTTAGGAGAACTGTTATACTACAGGGCTTGAAATTAACTCTAGTAAGTTGCCAGCTAGTCTTTTAGTTTTGCTAGTAAAACTTAAAAGGCACTTGAAAAAATTGCTAGTACACAATTCAGAAGGAATATTGGAGATTCTTACTGTCAAGAATCAGTATACTCATGGTACATGCATTTCAATTGTTTATATTACAAATTTCTAAATATAGAAGGTTACTATAATTGTAATTAACAAAATTGTTGTACTTGCCAGTTTTTCAATCCTCATTTGAGCTGCATGTCATACCCAAGTTAAGTATTAGGAAATGGAGTATAAAAACTGCAGCTTCACCCTGTTTGATTTGTTGCCAAAACAATTGTTAGCATATGTCCCAGCTAGTTAAGTTCTCACCATTGAGTCTGGGTCAACGATCCTGTGTTGTTGGCAGCATGGTTAGAAGTACTGGGCCAAAGTTTTTACTTATTGGGGTAATAATAAAATGGAACTCGTATAAACTGCAGTTGTTGTTGGTTTTTTTTCACAAACCTCTAAATTTGTTTATGAATAGCCCAAATGTTTGGCCAATTGGCTTTACGAGATTTTAGTATTTAAATCATAACTTTTATTGATAAAGTAATTTTTAGTATTTGTAGATGTAGGGCGGCTGTCAACAATGGGGAAGTGTACTAGTGGCCTAGCAGGTTTTTTTTTTTTGACAAGATAAAATGACAAAAATTTTAAGCCAAAAAAAAAAAGTGAGAATTTTTTCAGAACAGACATGCAAATTTTTCACGTTTTGTTGAAAACATGTTTTCCCACCTAATATGTTCCTGATAGATTGTTTAGGCAAAGTATTCATGGTGAAATTAAGTTGAATGGACAACAACTTCCTGTTGTAGAAACACAAGTGTAAAGGACTATGATAAAATAATTTTTAGTATTTGTAGGGTGGCTGTCAACAATGGGGAAGTATACTTTGTCAATCCAGGTGCTTGTGGCCTAGCAGGCTTTTTATTTGGCAAAAAAAAACTAACAAAAATTTAAACAAAAAATTCAAGTGTGAATTTGTTCCAGGGCCATCATTCAAAATTTTCAGGTTTCGTTGAAAACATGTTTTTCCATGTAAATGTGATCCTGACAGATTGTTTAGGCACAGTATTCATGATGAAACTAAGTTGAATGGACAACAACTGCTGGTTGTAGAAACACATGTAAAGGACGACATTTTGAAAGTCTTCTGTCTTCTTCAGGTCAGTGTGTTTATGGTGTTGTTTGTCTTTATAGTATTCTGATGGATCGTGGAGAGCGTGTTATGATAAATTTTGGAAGACAAGAAAAATTAAGGAATCATTTTATATTAACACAATAAAACTTTCACTAAACAGAGATTCCAGATTAGAGGTGAGTAACCTGTGGTTACCATTGGTTGAATCTACAGGAAGTCTCTCCACTAGTCAGAAACATGGATAAACCAACCAATCATAACTTGCTCTCCACAATCCACCAGAATACTATAAAGACAGACAACACCAATCACACGCTGACAAAAGGCAGAAGTCTTTCGAAAAATCGTCCTCTACATGTGTGTTTCTACAATAGGCAGTTGCCGCCCATTCAACCTAGATTCATCATGTGTTCCTGATCATTAACTTTGGGACAAGCCTAAATGAATTACCCTAATTTATGTATTGATCTTGTATTAGCTGAATTTTGAACATTTGTAACAATTTTATTGGCTCCCCTTGGATTTTTTTCTCTGGAATGAACCCCCATTTCAAATGAAGCAGTCTCTACTGAAGTTATGTCTTGTGAAACAAGTGGGAATCTGGAAGACTCGGATGATGATTTTGACATGCTTTTGGAAGATGTTCCTACTGGCAGTGATTCTGGTAGCTCAAAAAGTGATAACTGATCTTAAGATTCATGTGTTGTTTCATAATATTTGAAGTTAAAGTTATGAAAATGTATTTGAAATAAATTTTAAAATAGAAGCAGAGCAAATTGTTTCCTTTGATTTGTAAAAAAAAAATCATTTGAAAAAGCTAATTTTTGCACTGTTTCAAAGCTGGGTGTTTGAGATTTCTTTCAAAACTTTTTCCAAAGACTTAAAAATTTCCCAAAAACTGAAACTTTGTGAAAAAACTACAAATTTCTTAATAAACACAACATGATTTTCAAAAAAAAAGAACTGAGAAACATTTTGGCCCTGAAAGTCCCGAAAAAATTGCAAAAAAAAAACCTGCCTAGATCTATCAGTTTCTGACCATATTAAGCATCTTTTAACTTTTGTGAAATAAATAGAATAAAAACATTTACATGTAGTTAAGATTTTTTTTTTTTTATCTTGTAGAAGAAATTTCCTAAGCCATGAATCATGCTAGTCACCTTCTGCATTATACAGCAGAGGGGCTAAAACTGAACTCAATATTTTAAAGTATTTAAAAATATACACAAGTGAATTAAAATTTTTCTGCAATATCAATGATTTTTTATCAACAAAATTTCTGAATTTCAGTATTAAATGCATCACTTTGCTCTTATTAATACAGAGCCTTAAAATTGTTACTTTTAAAGTTTTTGACATTCTTCCACATAAGAACTAATTAACAAGTACACGAGGTTTATAAAAGCATTTAAAGAAAAAGGCCACAACATAATTGTATCAAGGATACTTTTGTGGGATGAACTTACTGTAGGGCTGAATGATAAGCTTAGGTTAATGTGTAAGGACAAGCAGATTGGCTGTTTGGATTATTTCTATGGAAAAAGTGAGCTTTTTGGAATGGATGGTTTATGTTCAAAGAGGGTAGGGGTTGGTTTGCAAGGGCTTTGAACTCAGCTTTAAGGAAAGCTTTAAACTAGAACAAGACAGAGGTGATCGCCAGAAAAACTAACTGCAGAACAAATTAAGTTTAAAAGTGTCGCTTAGGAACAAAGCAGTTTTGATAGACTAAATTGTAACTGTTGTAATTCCATAAGTATAAGAAATATGAGTTTATATTTTATAAACATAGATGTATACTATTGTTTTTGATATCCTGAACTTCAAAAGGAATGTAACACACTTTCATTATAAAGCTGCTCTTTCCCTTTTTTTAAAGGAAGGCTTGATAATGATAAACATTTGAATGATACGAGTTGGCTTTGAAAGTGATTTTTTTGTCGTTTATTTTTTAATTTTAGTGGAAGGGATAGCCTAGATGGTTCAATAGGTTGCTTGTCCTTTAATTTTTATGTTAAAGATTGTAAGAAAGCATCATTAGTACAAGTATTTATCAGATTTACTTAGTTTCCATTGATATTACTATATCATCCCAGGATTCCTCACTAAACCTGTCTGGCGGGTCTTGGTTCAAGTATATTTGCATTGTGATTTATTATTATTCCTGGTTTCTCTCATCCATTTTTCTTCCTTCATACTTAAACTACTAAAATCCAGTTTTCATTGCATTGCACATTCAAGTACTTCAAGAATGAAATTATTTTTTTTTCCTTAGCCTTTATCTCTAATACATCTTTCTTATGAATTCCCCTGGCTTCATGCATACCTTGCTGTTGAAAAGACTCCTTTTGACCATTTTAAATCAGTTTTCAGCTGTTGCATTTCTGTCATTGGGGTTGTTTATATCTCTTTTGGTAATTGCCTCACTTTGATTGACTTTTACTAAATTTAAAAGTTCATAAAGAAATTGTTAGAGGGGATATGTGTTGAGATGTTTAAGATTGTAAAGGGAATTGATAGAGTTGATGCATCATCTTTTTTCATACTTTATAGCAAAAATAGTAGGACTAGGGGACACAAATATAAATTTTGGCAAGGACAGAGATCTTAACCTCTCCTCGTATAATAAACTCTCCATCCCAGGCATCATTCTAGTAAGCCTCCTCTGAATCTTTTCTAGCAATTCAATGTCCTTCCTGAGGTAAGAAGCCCAAGACTGAACATAATACTCTAAATGTGGCCTAACTAGTAACCTATACAATGAAATTGTAACATCTTTAGGCTTGTATTCAAGATTTCTGTAGATACAACCTAAAATCCAATTGGTCTCACCACTAGCAGCACCACACTGCTTGGATGGCTTACGAGACCGATCGACTATTACACCAAGATTCCTTTCTTTCATGACACTGTTAAGATTATTCCCATCCAAATTAAACTTATAATTTAAATTATGATATCCCACATGCATTATCTTGCATTTATTATAAATAAAACCCATCTGACATTGATTTACCCAACTCACTAAATGATCTAAATCCTTTTGTAAATCAGCAGCATCCTCTTTACAGTTAGCAACACCCAATACCTTAC